AGGTACCAGTGCTGGTCTCCTCATCGATGCTGCGCGCTCGGTGCGTTCTAGAAAACATCCTCGATTCGAGGTAGACTTCCAAAGAGCCTTCAACGGTGTGGCTGAAACAGGAGCCAGAACCCCCACGCGCTTCAGGTGGTTAGTCGCCGTCTTTGCGATGGCCCTGGCAGTCAACTGGGAGGCTTGCGTCAGGCCTTCGGGGCTACGCAGAACAACCCGATGACAATTACAAGCTGTCAGCTCCTGCAGACCGACATTGTCACAAGAGACTGTGAAAGTGGCATCTGACTTCGATGCTTCTGTGGGGCTTCCGCAGTGAACCCAATTAGGAAACCAAACCCTCCACCCTGATGTCGTGTGAGGCATTACCGGGCCTGGCAACGCCAGCACGGGGTTTTTACCCTGGCAAGGGGAAGGGAGGCCGTCTAAGTTTTATTCCGTTGAGGGTGTAGGGTTTTGGATTCAAGCGCTCTAGGGTTTAGGCGGTTTCGGCATTCGATTGGCCATGTCATGCGGACTGCTCCAAATCACCGTGAGACAGCCTCGGCTTTCAACCAAGTCAGCGTTTGGAGGATAGGCAAGAAATACGAAACATCATCAGCCTTCAACCGAACTGCAAAGTTGTTTCAGAGTTTGGTTGGAGCCCAGCAGGTTCCATGCAGTGATCGTACAGAGGCCAAGAAGGAAGCAGTCTCATAACATCTGTTTTGAGAGGAATTTCGCCAGGGGAATTTCGCCGCGAAAGGTGCCCAGGAATCAGCAATGTTGTTGTGCCGAATACAGAAGAGATCACAGAAGTCAATAGCTTCGTGTAGCTGCGGGAAGGGCCCTAGTCCATTGTTCAGGGCGGCTTACGGTTCGTAGGGAGGGTATTTTGTCGACAGTGAGCATCGCCAAATTACATGTTCCCAAGCTGTCAGTCTTCCAGCTGTTGTGCTGCTGCTCGTCCTAGACCATTTGTGGCCTTCCTTGGTAGCAGGTTTGAAGGTTGAGCGCGGGAGACACCTCATGATAGGGAGGAAAATACTTGCCTCTGAGCGAGGTGATCACTGCAAAGCAAGCAATTGCCTTGTCCTGCGTGAACATGTGTCGAGGCTGATGGGTACGAGGGGCTGCACTGTTTGACAGGCTCGGCGCCAGGATGTGCCGGTGTGAGTTACGCCGGCTAGCCGCTGAGTGCCGCCACGTGACACGTGACGCTGCATGGATCCAACAGTGCCACTAGTTGAGGTGCGACACGCGCGCTAGCACTGAAGAATGCCAAGTTTTCAATCAGCACAGGCTCGCCGGTGGGCAAAGAGACAAGCCGCAAGCCCTTGACCAACCGAAATGCTTTGATCAAGAGACGGCGACAAAGGCTGAATAGATCTACCAAAGGAGCAAAGGCTTGAGCCTGGCGCTGGGTTCTCAGGCGGCTGATGGGTCTTGGCAGCTCTCCTTGGTTCGTCTGAAGGTTAAATCCTGAGAATGTTGAATCCTAGTGTAACCCTGTGAGCTTGCATGAAGCTCTGCCGAGGAATGATCTGAAGTTGTTCTTTAGGGTTTAAGTTTTAAAGTTTGGGGTTTGAGCTTCCACCACCGTTGCATATCATTCCGGCACCCTTTTTAAACTGCTTGGCCTCACTCAGAGGATTTTTGAGAAGGTTTTTTCTTTGGGGCTGGTCTCAAGACTTGGGATGGTGACGCCGGGCAGCCTGAGACCTGAAGCCTTGCTGCAGGCCTCAGGCTTCGAGAGGGTGTAAGTTTTCGGAAGGCAGGTTAGCTTTATTCAGATTCAGCTGAGGCATCTCAGTAGGGATGGGCTGGGGTTTTCAATTTTCAATGTTTCAGTTTTGCTCAGGCGCAGCTGAGAAGATCTCAGAAGAAGTTTAATAAATGATACAGGGTTCAGATGACCCGAAAAAATCTAACACCATTCCGTGACAGTGTGATCCTGGTCAAGAATTGTAAAACGCTTGCTTGCGCCGCCTCGCCAGAGGGGCTGGCCACGCGGGGTGTACTCGTAGCATGTGCAACGGTCCTAGAAGGGGTCCAAGGGGAGGGTCTCAATGGGAGGGTTTTAAGGGGCTCAGAAAGGTTTGGGCAGGTCCTACAAAACGAGGGCGGGGGAAAGTGTCTGGGGGCGAAGGAGACCAGTTCCTGGTCTTCTTGTTCTAAACGCCTCTCGGCTGGAAGCCTAAGCGAACTTCTGATAAATGTACACAATTCCAGGGGATCAGATAAGCATCATGCAGCATTAGTTTCTCAAAGTATGGAGAAAACGGCTTTTTCATTCGTCCAACCTGAGCGACTTCAATGACCCAGACAGTTAGCTCGTGGAGTTGTAGTTCAAAGGCCATCACTGGCAATTGCACCGCAGATGACCTTTGGATGCAGGTATTCTCAAGCAAATGTTTGGGGATTGATCTCATTCTTCATCTTTTAGCCACTCCATTGGCCCTCGATACTCACTCAGGAGGATTAGTTTAAACATCAGGTGCTTGAGACGTTGAGATGCTTCGTGCATGAGATGCAAAGTGGGGCGCAAGCACGCTTGCACCACTTGTGGCGAGTGCCGACTCTGGCAGGTACATGCTCTGCGTGTTGAAAAAACATCAAAACACGTTGTTGAAAAGCAGGCCGTAGACCTTCCCGTTTTGGCTACCACTGCCAAGAACATTGTGGAGAACACTTTGCTCACAAGGCTGTGCTCCCCGCACAGCACACAATAGTGTGCTTTACTACATGGTCTCATGTACCAAGTACATACAGCCGAGCAACTTACTTGTAGTCAGTCTACTGAACTGAGCAGCAAGCTTAGGCAAGGTATGCTGAGTGTCACCTTGCTCATTGCATGCACCTGAAAGGTCACCGTACGGGAGCATGCACAATGCAGGCGAGCAATAAACGTGATGCCCCATCAATAATGTCAGAAATCTCATCAGACAGACAAGAGCCAAGAAGCACCTGCAGCCTTGACTATTCCGGCATGTGGCTGTGGCAGCGCGCGCGCGAGCTAGGCCGTCAGAAGTAATTGAAGAATCCATTTGAAGAGCGTCCTGCCAGGAGCTGCAGGTGCACGAGGTCTTTTCACGTCATCTCCATGCCACATATCGAGGCCTTGAGCACGCTTGCGGTGAATCCCGTCGGGCCTGGATCGGCTGCATTCAGAATCTTGAGGTCATGTTGGGGCAACGGCAAGAGGAGAGCGATCCGGCCACTTCTCCCAGAAGGTGCAGTTCCGCCAATCACACGACTGACAATAGAGTCATAATGCAAGTATTGCTAGTAAAGTTCACAAATATTCACAACCATGACATCACCATTCCAATATTAACTTGCCACCCAGAAAGTGTCGTGCAGACTACGCAGGCATCGACCCCAGAGGGCGCCACCATTGTGGCCCCAAACAATACATCGGCAAGACGCCAGAGCAGATTGTTGAGCGGTTCAAGGACCTGGACGCATGTGGTGCCTTCCAATGAAGGGTGTTGCAGCCCCCGCCTATAGAAATGCAATCGTCTTGCACACGTAGGGCTCACCAAACGGAACTTGGGGACCCTGTGGCTTGGTGGTAACTGGGCTTTTTTTTTGGGCCTCACCACCTCGTCAAGGAGTTTCTTCACCGGTTTGCACGGGCTCTAACTTGACATTGTCGCGTGATGTCGTGTGAATATGTGTTAGAGAAAGGCTGTTTCTGCCCAATGCAAAAGGACCATGTTGTGAGAGGATGGCATGATCAGATGCGATGGGAAGCTTGGTCACGTTCTGGCTTGATTGTGCTCGTCGTGCTTCTTGCGCTATTCTATCTGTGTGGAAGGTGGAGGTATCGGATCAGATGTGCCTTGAATCAGCACGCCCAATCGGATCACCCCTTGAGATCAAGCCTGCATTTGAGTCAGCTCAGCCGATTGGCACGTTTCGGATCCCGGACAGCACCAAGAGGACCAAGGTTTGCAGCTATCCCGACACAGGCTTCACATGGCTTAGGGTTTAGGTTAGGGTTTACGGCTTTTAGGTTTTTAGCTCTGAGCTGTTTTCTGTTTAGGGTTTAGGTCTTCCCAGTCGTTGAAGAAAGTGGGCTCATAAGAGAGCTCAAAGATCAGAAGTTGTTTTGCGGTTTCGGTGCTCGGGGTTCAACGAAACCGAGGATAAACCTTCGATCTTGAGTTCTGTTACAAATCCCACCATTCTTCAATCCCGTCGGCTGTGGCTTGGGGCTTCCAGGTGTCGGCGTGTAGGGCTTGTACACCGCCTGATAATGCTTTGTTAATTCCGGAAGCGACATGGCTTAAAACACCATCCCCGGCTGCTGATTCAGGAAGCCCCACTGCATGTGCATGTGCACTGAATTGCAGTCGTGGATATGGCTGATCCGAGTGCGGCGAGCCCGTTCATGGAACACCATGATCCGAAATCACTGAGCTGAATCGTTGCCCTACCCCTCAGTGCAGTGCGTCTATACAGTACCTTCAGCTTTCAGCAGGCCTTGTCTGGGGGAACATCGTTTAACTTGGTTCTGTCTTTTCCGTTAGCTGCTAGCTAGCCATCTCTTCGTCGTCCTGCAATCTCCCACACCCGCTCGATCCGCAATAGTCCCACACAAAGTCGACGATAGCCGATGGGTTTTCCAAGCTGGACATGCAACCGGAACATGTTGAGACGTGGACGCATCTTGTCGGTTGTTTTGGGAGATTGTTCGGTCGTGCCAGGACCCTGCGACCTTCCCGTGGTGCACTCCTCAAAGCTGAATGCTCTGCATGCGACGAAGTCGTGATGAAAATCGGCAATTCAGGGAGGCAGGCCTTTCCTTGCCTTAACTTAGCATTCGGAGTTCCTAGACGGGCATCAGAATCGTCCAGCGGTCCGACTGGTCAGAAGCTGAGGTACCAAGTTCCAGAGCCCTTGAGACAGCGCCGTTTCGAGGCTGGCCTTCCGGTTTGTGTCATAGGCATCACCAGGATGGCAGTGTCGTGAAACGAAAGTAGCTCGTAGCTGATATTATCAAGGTGCTTTGGCAGATGGCTCACCGCTGCGGCTATCGTTCTGCCTTGCAGGCCGCCTTCGTGGAGCCAGAGTGCCCAACAACCCCTCACAAAGAAACTCTGATATTTGCCTTCTTTCACCATGAGGCCCCTTTTGGGCGGCTTGAAGATGTTCAGGGTCTACTGAGTCTACTCTTAGTGAAGGGGCATTGGCCTTGAGCGCCCAATCTGAGCTCCGGGATGTCAAGCTACGATCAGGCAGTGAAGCTTCTTACCGACCCGGCTCACGATGGGCGGCCGGAGGTGCATTTCATTTGAGGTAACCTTCAAAGACCGTCAAAGACATGCGTAGAATCGGGATCCGTACGTTCGTCCTTGCTCTGCCCGCACCAGGCAGCTGCAGCAGGCCCGCCTGAAGCTTGGCCAACCGACGGCGTCCATCAAAAGCGTGCTGATCCTCAGGCGAATCAGGTCGACCACAGCGTGAGGGTCTAAGAGTCGCCGCATGAAGGGCGTGGGCAGCGCGGTTTTTTTGCTCTGCACAGCGTCTATAGACTAATCTCGGCTGTTCAGGTCTACAGCGTTCTCAACTTCGGGCTTTGAGAAGCGGCACCCCAGCAGTGCCTGCCTATGGCATAGGCCGGGAATACTTCTTTTCACAGGATGGCTGCCCCTCTCCCTGCACTGCCATTCCTCATGTGCGGAAGGCCCTCGAACCGTGCCGGAAACTGAGTGAGTCTTGCGCTTATGAAATCGCGGGCGGTGTCGTGACCTCGGCAAGTAGTCTCCAGTGCTGAAAGGCACTCTGTACTGGCATTCCGCAGCCAAGCTGCGAAAGTCAAAGCCCATCGCTCTCCAACAACTTTCATACCTTTGAGTTCAAAGAGCCATTGCAACGTTTCATGATGCCACCTGACCGGACTGCAGATTCATGCTTGTCGGCTTTGGCCGCAGAGCAGCATTCCAACCGGCAATCTTGTTGCTTGCTACCAGTAGCTGCAATTGCTGCAGGCAATCATTGTTCAACCAGCACGGTTGCTCAAGCACAGCCTACGGCAAGTATGCAGCTAAAGCTGCTTGCTCTCCTGTGGGCTCTTGGCCGGGTTCTTGGACTCGTTGCAGCTATCTTGCAGACCCTGGTGTGCCAACATGCACGCAGGGGCAGGGGCAACTCTCGTCCAGTGACAAACGTGAAGCACAAGCTGCACTGCTTAGATTCTTAGACGCTGTCGGTTCCGTCAGGTGATGGCTCTGTGCCCTTTGACTCGGACCCTTTCGAATGTCAAACGGACGCAGCACTCGGCCCCGTGATGAACGCGACCCGGAAAGGCGGCAGGATTCCCCCATAAACTGGGTTTTCAGAAGTTGGGTAAGGTCTGCTTCTCTGAAAGTCGCCCCAATTGAGACTTGCAGGTTGGATTTCAAAACAACCTTTGAAGGAGCAGCCCGAAGTCTATTGAAATGTGTTACGTGTTGGAGTTCTAGGCTTGGCCGTGGATGACACGACGCTGCGATGGTGCCTCGGCTCGCATGAAGTTGCATTCACATACAGCTTCAACACGAGTAGCTAGATGTATCTAGGGTATGTTTTGTGTGCCCTTCAGAGCTTTGGGGTCAAAAGATACCAGAATCCATGGCAGTACGTCTCCTGCAGTCGGGTCTGGGTTGGGGCATGAGGAGTCGAGACGACGCTGGCACTAGAGGGTTTAGGGAGTCAGCGGCGTACATGTCCTGGGCACCAACTTTTGCGAGGGGCTGATAAGCCTAGAGAGGGAGCACCCTGTCCTGCGGCAGTCATCTTCAACGTAGTATTGACATGAGGTGCTCAGGATCGATTCCTACAACCTGGCCAAATGCGGATGCACCAGTTGCAGCAATTCGGCTGTTCAAGGTGGGAGCTTCAGATCTTCCAAAGTTCTCTCGCCGCAGGCTACATAGACATGGCAATCCCATAGCTCACAGTCCATCGTTGCAGGCCTGGGACCCCTCCTGGCAAGATGATCGGGAGCTGGCATGGCGAAACCTCAAAGCCTTTGTGGAGCATACAGGAGCTGCAATACTTTGTAAGAGTGCCCGAGATCCTACAAAGTGAGCGATATCAGCTACGTGCAGGAGCTAGGGTTCTTATGGGTACGTCCATCAGCTGCGTACCAGCAGACGATGAGCAGAGCTGGCAGTGGACCAAGGGGCTCATGCAGGCACGACGGAGAATGCCTGACTCCTTTGCAGCTTTACTATGCGGGGGTTTGCAAAATCAGGGGTACCTTGTTGGGGTGCGTATTATACGCGAATCCTACTACTTGGGGATCTATATTGGGTGTCCCCTACTTTCGTAAACCCCCATGCATCTCAAGCTGAGCTGAAAGGTCTTGGGTCCAGATCGCATCATGGGCTTGGCCATAGGCCAGGCGAGCACTGTCTGGCACAGTGACAACGTCAGTGCAATAGTCCCCTTGCACGGCCAGGAAACGAACTGGAGCTCCTGTTTACCAAGTTTAGCTTTTCCGACACGGTGGATCAGGCATGTTTCCTGGCAGCACTCAAAAATCACAGATTTTGCAACCCATATTTCCCGATTTTGACTGCGCAAGCTCATCAACTATTGTTGCGTGCACTCCGGCGCTAGCATGAATTTTGCAAGCAGCAGGAAACAGCAGCCAAGGTATTGATTCCATGTGGGAAAGGGGAGGCTTCTGGGAGACATTCACAAGCGCCTCGACTTGCATTGGCCTGTTTCTCGCTTCGAGAGAGTTACCAACATTGAGCATTGAGGCACGGAGAAGCTAAAGTCGCGTGCAAAGCATACACAAGCAAGACTCTTCACGGGTGCAATGTTGTTGAGTCTTGGAAGTTCGACAATCCCCGCATTTGAACATAACTGCACGATACCCTGTACTGAGGAATCGTAAGCGAGTTTGACTCCTTGGGATTTGGACGTGTTCCAGTGGCCTGCATGAATTGCCAGCTGCCACCAATATTTGCAGGGAGCCATGTTCTACACGGTCGAAGCACATCTTACACTGAAGGCTTCAACTTAAAGTTGCCAGTATTGCAGTCCTAAAAGTCCAGGTGACCTCCGTGTTCGGCGGTCTTGCCCTCGCGGGAAACTCCACACACCCCTTCTTCGAGCAGGTGGGCAAGGCGAGTCCTCATGTTCAGTTGACGCTCTGAGTCCATGCCAATCCTGCTTCTGCTTCGCACTGCTTCGCGCTGCTTCGCGCTGCTTCGCGCTGCTTCGCGCTGCTTCGGGTTCAGGCCCGAGTGAACTCGTTCTTCGAAAACGCCACAGCCAAGTTCGGGGACAGATATGCGTTCACATGGACCACCTACCCATACTTCGATCCCAACGAGCGCTTGGACCAGGGCACAGTCGACGAATGCGAGTTTGCTCGCAACCGGTCGCTGTGCTTTGACAGCAGCTGCGACGCACCCAAGTCCATGGCTTACATGCGGCGCAAGATGGCTGACCTGACTGGCAGGTCTAACAGCACATTCTGGATAGGTGAAACTGGCTGGTCATCTAGTGGAAGTGTTCAGTCAGAGATGAAGTACTGCAAGAACTGGGCCGCGCCGGACTTCTCGACTTGATGGAACAAGGTTTCTCACATCTCGTGGTTGAGATAATTTGACTCCCCCCGCTAACCGAGATCGCCTGGCAAGAGTACCAAGCCGAATTCTTGGTTCACTGGGGACCATACGCTTCAAGGGGGCATGCATGGGTCGGAACCTTAAGCTGGGCGGCTCAAATGTAAAAGGAATTGCGATTTCAAAGCTTAGAATATTCCACTTAAAGACTTAAAGCGAGGGGACTTGGCAAGTGTGCATTGCCTTAACTAAGAGCAGGTTTGACCCTCCACCCCTCCCCTCGGGCATCTCCTACGAACTCGCCAAACTCAAAATGGCACCTTCGCTTCCGGCCTGTCAACTGAAGGCCGCGTAGTACTCCAAAGCTGACCCGATGTCCATGGACCATGATAGTCCCTGGTATGTCTGAAAGTCTGACAGCATAAATTTCGACTCTACGGGTTTCACTTGTGGAGTTTGGACCAGTTGCGACCAGTCCCAAAAGGCAGGGAGGGGTAGGGACAGTGACTGTGCCTCAAGACAATCATCAGGACCAGTGCGAGTTCTAGCTGAGCAAATCTCAGGAGAGTTTGGAGAAGTACTATGACAGCTTCCTCCGGTGGGATGGCAGCATTCCAAACCAGGAGCCTCCCGATCACGTGCTTCTTGGGCCCCTATTGAGTATGTTGAACACAGTCTGTTGAACAACATTGAAGGGCCTTCTTTTTTGGGGAGCTTATCGGCAGAAGTCAGCTGACCGAGTTTCTACTTCACAATTCGAGACTCCCTGAACTTCGGGAATGCCGAGCAGTTCGGGGTCATTGAGCAATGTCACATGGCCGAGTGCAAGCTGCGGTCCCCTGGCTTTACTGCAACCTCTGCTACCACTACCGACACAAGCACTTCAAGCACTTCAAGCACTTCAAGCACCTCAAGCACCATTCTGGTAACTACTCCCAGCTCGACAGACGAGATTTCGGAAGGCAGCACGACGCCTGCACTGTCTACGTCGGAACCCGAGGACGCAGACCCGGGTAACGAGTCAGAAGCAGAGCTGACAGACTTGAGTAGCAGGCTTAATTTATCGATGTACAGAGTTCTTTTGGCCCACCTATGCCTGTGGTCAATGGCCAGTCTTGTGCGCTGATCGAATGTAGAGATCCCGGCCCCCTGACCAGAAGGCACGGCTCAGGGTGCATGTGGCTTTCGACATCTGGTCAGCTACTGTTTGTTGTTCCTCTCCGAGGAACGCCAGAGGCTGCGCGAGATGCTCGGAGCTCTGGCAGGAGAGGAACAGCATCCTACAGAGATTTCCCCCCCATGTCGGGGCAACAGAAGACTTCTGCTTAATCTCTACATCTACTTCGGTGAGAAGCCAAAAAACCGCAGATGTCTCGGCCTCGGTGAGAATTCGACCAAGTTTTGGGTACAATGGATTGGGTGTTTCACTAGGATTCACTCAACCCATGAATTGTATAGAGGCCCATGCACGAGGACCAACCTGCGTGGTTTTCTGCAAGACTGCATGACCACACGACCCTTGCAGGGCCCAACCGCTTTCAGGTCTGGTTTGCGGATGATGGTGGGCGTTTCTTGGGTTCTGTTTTGTTGTCTTTCGAATCTGAGCAGTTTGCTTGCACAAGCCATATTGACTGCCTCATGGATTTAGACTGCAAGGTTGCGTCTTCTGATCAACTCGTGCAAGTACATGGAGATCGTTTTTGTGCAACGCCACCATTCCGTTACATTAGGAACCTGGTTCATCGCTATAACTCTGGCCGTTTCTTACGCGCGATTCTCTAGTTCACGCCTTGACGCGATGTGCAGTCACGTCTGCTTTCTGTCGGCCTTGGGCACGGGAACCAGCTGCCCATCCACATGCCGCAGACACGGAGGCCGGAGACGGGTGGGATCAGCGTAGCATTGACCTTTGGCTGTCACAAGTCGCAAGCATGGAAACTGCAGGTATTATGTTATTCTCGAGGCATGGACCATGAAACCAAAATGTAAGCCACATTTGCTATTAAAACAGCACTGCTGCAGTGGTGCAGAGCAACGTAAATGCATCGCACACCAACCCTAAACTCGGTCGTATTGCGACGCCTCAGGCTCGCCCAAGCAGCAACCGGCGCAGACCCACACAGCTCCTAGGCTTGGGTGCTCTCGTGAGCGGAATGGCTTTTCAGCATCTTATCATGAGCTGCAGCTCTTGAGAAGCGTCCACCACGCACCTTGCAGTGCCTTGCAAGGGGTGCAGCAGCTGCGCTGATGGCATCTCTGGCCTTCGGGACGCCGACTCAGATCGACTCACTAACAGCAAGAAGTGCATTCAACAACCCTCGCGGCTAGCAGCCCTAGCTCTGGTGTTGGTGGCCATAGGTGGCCAATATATGTTCCATTATAATATGCTCTTTTGCCGTGCTGTGCGCCTTTGGGTTACGCTGAGGCGAAGCTCTGGGAAGGGGCGCCGCTTTCGCTCTGTGCTGCGGTCGGCACAGAGGGAGCTCTTGGAGACGGAGCATCGGGGCGAGCTGTCAAAACGCGTGCTGATAAGTCGACCCAACACTGACACAGAGCCAGATCTTGCCATAATGACAGTGCGCTCACATGCGTTCCTCAGACAGGAGATCAGAGCTGCGATGTACTTGGACCCAGCGCGCCTGCGGGTTGTCTCCTCCAAGGAGAGCCCTTCTACTGATTCTACTGGCAGAACTTGAGGACTTCTTTCCTTTACCAGTAGCTACCTTGCGCATCTTGGCTGCTAGGAAAGTGGGGAACGTGAGGGAGCACTTCGAGGGCAGTGGCTGAAGCCTCAGGTGTGAAGCCAGCCACGGGGGGTTATCAGGGGCAGCACCGGTGCCCAGAAGGATGAGCAGCCAACTGGCCTTACTTGCTTTAGAAGAGTGGAAAGATTTGAGTTGGTAAAGTGCTGAAGGTTGTGTTCTCGGCAGTTAGATTTGAGAGGCAAGGTTCCAGCTGAGTTTCTTGACAGCATCAGCATCCATGCAAAGAGATATCTAGCGGTGAAGGACTTTCGGCGGCTCACAAGATCCAACAGACACAGATGAAACATGAGGCGTAAGGACTCGAATTCGCTTTGGCAGCCTGCGCATTTGAGGCTATCCTTGTTTCGTGCGTCTGCCCCATATGTGGCAATGTGCAGCCCTAAGAGTTTGCGAAGTTTGCATGTCAGTGCTGATGGCAAAACGAGTATGCGATATTGGTGAGTATGAACCGAGTCTGCTTATCAAAAGACATTCGCGACAGCAGTCCACAACGAAGCAACGTTCAAGTGCTGAAGTTTTCCGAGCCTGCTTAGACCGAACTCACAGTAAGAAGAACCCGTGCTCTGTGATAGAAATCTCTCCGTGAGCATCCGCAAAGCAGATTTCCAGCGCAAAAAGCGATGGCATACCATGTCAGCTCAGCAAGCGCATGCACTCTGCGTGTGCAAGAGTAGCAAGCCCAAAGCATACATTATACTTCCTGCACTGACTTTGTGTCGCAACTTAGCATTGTGACGTCAGACACTCCATAACTTCGTCCAGAGCTTGTCCGGGTCTTGCGCACTCCCTGCAGCCATGGGCCAGCATGTTGGAAACCGAAAGGCCCACTTCCAAGATGTCGAATCTGAGAAGCCGTGACATGCCGGCGACAGAAATATGAAATTCGGAGGCTTGGCGATGGGTGCTAGCCGTGGGTCTTGCAGGGCTGGCCTGGGCCTCGAAACTGCTCATAATATTCCATGTTTGGCTTGGCAAGGCGAGGTCGTTCACCTGCATTGCGGTCTCTGCTCAGGCCTGCACTCTGACCAGCACTGCCTTCGCCTTTGCTGGGGCTGCAGCGAGGCCGCCCTAAACTGTCAAAGCATGTACACATTTGCACCTCAATCAACAATGTCCTGATAGAAGAGAAGTCAACCTAGTCTGCTACGAGACTATTCGTCAACACTTTGCCCGAAAAGGTTACGAGGATCTGGACGAACCACTTTGTTTGCGCAGGCCGTCCTTGCAGCAGTAGAACATCGGAGATCACACTGCCACACTGCCTGGCTGCCTGAAAGCCCATCAGCCCCCTGCCAGGAGCCCTTGGCATACCGAGCTTCAGGTACCTTCGCCCGCCTTTGTTTTGGAAGTCCTAAACTACTAACTGATAGGCTTTGGCTCGCAATTTCCTTGGGAAGGCCGTGCACCTGGAGGCTACGAAAGCCGCGTGAAGGCAAAGTAGTGAGTTCTAAATCTTTGCGGGTGGGGTTTTTGAAGTACCTCTCATGGCAAGCTGATCCTTCATTAGGATGCAGTCATGTCTTTTTTCGAGAATTGCAGGAAGAGGCAAAGCCTGTTGAGATCAAAGGCTTCTTGGAAGGGGCTCTGGTAAAGGCAGGACGGCACAGCTTCGTGGTCTGTCTGGTCCAAACTGCTCTTCCTTCAGTCAAACACCTGGCGAAGCCTTGAGGCCAAACTCGTGGACCGGGCCGACGAGATCAGGACTTGGGAGGGAATCAACATGCACAGACAGGTATCTTTATTGGAAACACGGCAGAAGCATGTTCGCAAGACGTGGCACCAGCAGTCAAGTTGCAGGGTGTGGCCACCAAGAGCAGCTAGGTTCAACTAGGTTCATCAGATCCGTCCACAAAGACCTGCCAGCACCTACAGCCATCCGTAAATCTGGCTGAAGTCTTGAGGACTTGGTGCGAAGAACAAGGCTCCTCATTGGTCAAAAAGCTGCGTGCAATCTTGCGCCAGGGGGTAAGGAGAGTGGGCACAAAAAGTCGAGTCATCAGAGTCACCCTTGCCTTCATGGGGTAGGGGCCCGAAGACGCGGTTCCTTGGGCATCAGCGGCAGATACAAAAACGAGCAGAGCAGAGCAAAGCCACGGCTCAGTGCAACCGCTTCAGGCGCAGAGCTCTTGGAGGAACTGCTGGATGAGCCACTCGCCTTCGTGGCTCTTTTTTTTCAGCGTGTAGCTCGGTCTAATATTCGCTAGGTCCTAGCGCCTAAGGCTGGACTCCTTGAAGGAAGATATTGGTCTCGAAGAAGGCGAGACGTCGCAACTTGGCTTGAGCAGAGAATGAATCGATGTGAATCGCTGCAGAAGAGGCGGCAAGTGAAGCATCGTCAGGCGCAGTCTGTTAAGATGGGTTCATAGTAGTCATAGCATCTAAGACTTGGCTTGTAGCACAACAACTGCACTTCCAAGAGCATCCTCAAGCACTTCACCCGAACTTCACCCCCCCCCCCTTCGGGTTTGTGTTGAAATGGTCTTTGCAGGCGTATGGCTTGCCCCATCCCACAAGCCCAATGATTCAGCGCTGGGAAGCCGGGTTAGTCCTACATAACATTGCGTGTATTCCATTCTGAAGTCTTGGGGTTTGTCCCATGTCCTTCGGGTTGGTTGTCTCTTTGCCATGACTCTTTGATCGGGACATCTGCCATGAAGGTACAAGTACTGCATGAACACCATGACTTGCCGGTGCCTGACTGGCCAACTATGTAAACGTACCTGCGCAAAGTCGGGAGCTTTTCGCTTGACAACAAACAGGATTTTCAGGAAAGAGGACGGCCATGTTTGTGCCACAACAGTTAATAGCAGCCGCTGGATGACGATCCAGCTGGAGAGACGACTTCATCAGAGCCTTGGTGTCTTGGATATACAGCATGCATGAGACTTGCGACAATCCCCAAGTCTTTAATAGCCTGAATCTTTCCCCTCTTGTAGCTGACAAATGCCGCTGTCGAATCCACCAAACAAGTGTGTGTGTGTGGGTGGGTGGGCATTGCGCTCTCTTTTCCGGTTGTTTTTTGTTCGGAGGGCCTGTTTCATGTAAATGCCGCAGCCAGCCATGGGTAGCGATAAAGTCGCGGATTCTGGTGCGGCTGTGGTGGAGGTGGACGACGAAGAGAGGATAAATGTTGGTGACTTGCTCCTCTTTGTGGCGGGCGTGCTTGGCCCCGTGTTGATCGGCCTGGGGGCCTTCTTGATTTCGAAGATGGGGCCTGCCTTCGTCTTTATGATTGTCCTTGGTTTCTCCTTCTGGGTGATGCCCGCGGCCGTTGCTCTTGGCGGTCGAGTGGCTCATTATCTTGACAATGTCATGAGCGAAGAAGATTTCAAGAAGTACCTGCGTGAACTTCAAGCAGCAAAGCCCGTCATTCAATGGAGCGTCAGTAACTCCACGTACCATCGTTACAAGATACATGGTGAGACTCGGATAGATTACAATCATTACGACCATAAGCCTACGGTCTGGAAACAATATGACCTTCGGGGTGTCTTGGACGAGACTCTTTCCCCCGAGCAGACCATTGCCATGTTCCATCTCCTTTATGATGGCCAGGAGGATCAAGAGGGTCATGCCATGCGCGTTTAAGGAGGTTCAATAGGTTGTTTAGGCACGTCTTGCATTCGAGTTTGCTGCATCTGGGGGTGTACTGGAGAAGTACTTGGCAAGTCTGCTTGACAGGATGAGGAAGTTGGCGTGCGCGAGAAGAGATTCAAAAACCTGATCCTTCGTTGCCATTTCTCCGTGGAGATGCACCCGATCAATGAAGAAGAGGCCGAGCGGATCGAGAGGGAGAAGCAAGAGTTCTTCAAGGCGAATATCAAGGAGGAGATTCATCATGAAGATGCCAAAATATCCCTCTCGTTCAAAGATGTGAGACGACACGTCCTGGTCGTGCTCAACACAGACGACAGCGAGAGCAAAAGGGGTCTACCATGGTGGATGGACAAAGGTTGGATGTTGATTAGTAGCTTGGCGTTCATGAGGCCGTTCTACATCCACAAGTTCTTTGCAAGCTCACATCATGTGGAGTGGCTTGTGCTCAAGCACTACGCCCATGAACCGGTGGAATCCTGGAAGGAGGCCCCAGCGAAAGGCCGAGCCCGCAGGTCGGACGTCGCCTCCAGGGCCTTCTGCACCAAAGCGCGTGAGACCGCGAGAGACTTGAACCTCCCCACGGTCCTCACGACGAAGGAGGAGTTTCTTGGCAAGCTCCAGGTCGAAGTTCCCAGCGGCTTCCCAAGCTACTGGAAAACCCAGGACATAACGCTTTCATTTGACGACAAGATCAACCTCTCTGCTGCTGAGCGCCAGAAGATGCAGATGCTCGTGGATGCAACCTTCAAAATGAAGGCCACAAGAGACCGCAAGGATGGCGAAATGCCTCAGCGCCTCATTGTGGAGCAGGTCCTGCGCATTGAAGACAGCACCATGTGGAAACGTTATGAGGCCAAGCGCCTTGAGCTGGCCCAGGGGCAGCGCCCCGTGCCAGTCAAGCATCTTCCGGGCAGTGGCATGTTGAAGACTCAGCCAACAGATGCAGATGCAGAACAGTGGCCAGGCTGCCTGAATACTGTCATCACAGAATTGAACGAGGCCTTCTTGTTTCATGGCTCAAATCCTGGGGCAGCCCTGGGAATCGGCGAGCATGGCTTTGACATGGACCGGGTGGGATCAAGTGTCGGAACCATGTTTGGTGCCGGGGCCTATTTTGCCGAGGCCTCATCCAAAAGCGACGAATACGGCTCGCAGGAACCCTCCGGTCTCTTTGCTGGGCGCTATGCCTTCCTGCTATGCCGGGTGTTGCTTGGAAACATCTTCCATATCAAGGAGTCTGACCTGCCCAAGATCCAAGCGGCAATGGCCTCTGGTGGCTATCAATCCGTCCTAGGTGACCGGGAGATTGCGGTGGGCACCTATCGCGAGTTCGTGGCTTTCGACCAAGACCAGATCTATCCAGAGTTTGTGGTCATCTACCGCAGGTCCTTTGAATAGATTCCTCCATCATCCATACCAATAGCAGCTGTGTTTGTTCAAAATCCAGCAGGTACTCTGCAGGCAAAGTCTCCGTAGATGCTGCTATGTTTAAATTCCGGTTTTTGGACAGGTCACCTGATCCAAACTAACTGGTCAAATGGCTGGTACCCATCGCAGAAAGCAAAGAAGTTTCGCAACTGCATGTTTGTACAGCAGCACGTTTGCACTTTGCGTCAACAGGGGGCAGGCCCGCAGCCACACCGCCTTGAGAAAAGCGCTCCGATTTTCAGACTCGTCTGGATTGGATACTTCACCATACCCGCATTTACGTTTTGACAGCTCAGACGTGTACAGTTGGCACACGCTGGTCAATTCGTGCGGGTTGGTGGCTAGTCCCTTAAGTGTATCTCAAGTGTCCATGGCATTCTGTCCGAGGCGGCTTGAAACGGCGTTGATGGAGACGCAGAAGAACGCCGTCGAGGAGCGTGAAAAGAGAGAGAAGGCCGCGAGGCACGGCCTGTATGCTGCGACACTGTGTGTTGTTTTGCGATGGAGGCTTTCATGCCAGCCTGTGCCTCCCTTAACGAGTCAAGCAAATCTCCAAGCCGGACATGCGCCTCACTCAACAGTAACCTTTTCTGGGTCTCAAGCTTGAGAGGTGGGTGGCTTGGAGAGTGCCGTACGTGTTACATTGTACCTGCATGTTGGGATACCAAATGGGAAACACAACTTGCTGGTTCACGTCTTACCTGGCTTAAGATCGTGTTCTGTCGGACGAATGTTGCCCGAAAAACGCGTCCTGACAAAACTTGCTCAGTGTGGGGAACACATATCTCCTCTTGGGATCAGACAGGACTTGAACCATATTGAGCGGAAGCTGGGCATTTGCTAGTTGCACAATATTGTAAATTCAGTTTCATGCTCGAACTCACATCATGGCGGCAGGGAAGGAATGGCAACCCTTGGGCACAAGCTCATCAGCGGACAAGTGTCTTTGGAAGCAGCTTCTTGGCTTCAGATTAGCAGCGCCTGCAATGTTACAAAACGCTTGATGATATGCCCTGCGCAGGTGCAGAAGGCATATGAGTCCATGGAGCAGGAGACTTGACTGGCGTGTGCAGAAGATCTGGGAAAGCCGGCAGGGAGTAGTGATGGTACTGGTCAGAAGCGGTAACGAGCAAGTCAGATGCTGGCTCCCAAGCTATCTGCATGCACATCTCGCTTGATAGAACAGAGGTTTCACTGTCTACGTGCCACGCCAAAGACTCATAAGTGCGTGTCGTGGTTAAAAATGTGTGAAGTGCTGAGCAGTTGCTGGTCCACTGACAACACTGCTGTGACACAGTTCTCACAGTTCTCACAGTTCTCACAGTTCTCACAGTTCTTTGCACTGTCTCCAAGGTTTCAACAAAGCGTTATGGTCTTTCACATCCCAGGGCATGTGCTGCAAAACACAGCTGAGTGGCGGCCTCGATGTGCCACAGGCTCTGCTGGACTGATGCAACCTCCTACTTGGTAGCTGCGATCTTGACTCAGGCTGGAGGGCCTCATGAGCTACAAAGCTGCACTGAGTTGTGGCAACATGTTTTCGACCTGGCAGTACTAACAACGAATAGACATGTCTACAGTAGAGATGGGGAAGCTTCTGCTTCTGCTCACACACCTTCTAAAGCTGACTCTTCCAGCATCTGTGCGAGCACTAGCTACTGCCTCTTGCAGCAGCTGAAGTTGCACGGTCTTTATGAAATTCTAAGGTGATATTGCGCTTTGTGCCTTGCTGGGGGTCCGCCCAGTGCTAGTGCCATCACTCACGCCGAGCGCCAAGCATTCTGCGGCTTTCAAGTCAAGCGCACGCATGCGCGGGCATGCCCACGCACGCGAACACACGCACGCCCACACACGCCCACACACGCCCCGGCGCACATGCCCTTTCGCTTGAAGTCTTCATATGTCATAATCGCGCGGATTCCATCGCTTCATATCTCGTGAATCACCAGGACTAGCGCAACGACAAAACCACCAAATGTCCCCAGCCCCTCAGGACGCTGCACCGGCAGGGGTGGGTCTCTGGAATTTGGTTTCCCTTCTAGAAAAAACGTGCACTATACCTCTTTGAAGTTCAACAGCGGGTATGCCGACAGAGCGTCCCCGATCCTTGTATTAGCCAGAATGATCCACTGCCTTCCTGTTTATTTTGAGCTTGGCAGTCTGGCCTTGGTGTACGAGGAAGCCGCATGTAAAAACTGAATAGAACGCAGAGCCCAGAGCCTCTGGTGAAAGGCAGAGAGTTCTCGCTCGCCTTCGCCATGAGGCAGGTACTACTGTGCCAGAGGCCAGCTTCCACACTGTGAGCTTTGGGCTGGTCATCCATTTCACAGCTGCTGACGCCTTGCTCATGTGAGACTCGCACCTAACCCTTAGCCTTAAAGTAACCTGAAAAACTCAAGTCCGAACAGGTGACAAGACGAACAGAGGGCTCAAGACGAAGGATACCCACGCGCACCCTCCTTGTTCCATAGGTTTCGACCGCCTTGCAGGAGCTAGAGGCAACTGGGGGCTCAAAGTGGATGAATGCAGGATGCCTGTTTGCTGATCTGATGTCGCAGTTGGACTGACGGATGACCCAAAAGGTAGTGCTAGCAGGATTGGAGGTGTACATGGCCGGTGCAAGGCCATGTGCAGCATTGCTGCGTCTTCTCTGGAAGATGTGCGAAGCTCTTAGTCTATGTCTGCGTAATTTCCCGTGGAGTATAGTTGCAGACATCCAAGACTCGAGCTTGTTCAATTTTACGATGATGTGCAAAGAGATGCCGGTCCTGAGCCCTATCCACGCCGCCACGGCCCAACGACAGTGTTGTCGCTCCCCTCCAGATTCTGCTCAGGATCCGCTTCCTGAAGCAGGAGGCCGGCATGCTGTGCGCAGAGGCGGGCAACGATCGAGGCGTTTCGTGTGGCTGTCGGAAGTGGGATGCGCATTGCCTTCTGCAGCTTGGGCTAACAGGGCAGCACCGAATCGGGGCATCGTTGTGAAGGTGAGTGTCGCTAGCCAACATTTAGCGCAGCTGGCAGCAGACATGCTGTAGATGCATGTAAGAGAAATGAGGGATCAGGGAGTGAAGATCTTGCAATATCAACCGCGTTTGGGCCTTGATGGCATGCCAGCCGGCACCGCCAATACTATTGAGCTTTCAGTTCCCACGGATGCATCGAGCTTGGGCGATGCAATCCAGCTTGGCCGGCAGCGTTGTGGGGAAGGAGACAGCATGAGACACCTTTCGGCATCTTTGGCGACCGGGGACAAGGGATCAACACGGATCAAGCAAAAAGAAGCACAGAATGCAAAAGGATCAGGTAATCAACCCAAAACAGAGGCCCGATGTGTTTGGCTTCGCAGCTTGCTGGCTTTTCGGCGGGGTTGTTTTCGTTTTGCGTGAACACACAGCCTTGGTCGTCGCCATGAACTATGAAAGCGACGAGTCCAATCCTTCCTAGCGAGGCAAGAAGACGCATGTCGCGACGGGAGCCGCGGAATTGATTAAACAGAGAGTGGGGTCAGCATGGAAAGTGGTATATGGGGCTGAAAGTTTCTTTGTGGGAAGGGCATTGTCCAACAGAGATTCATGCAGATCTGCGCAGGAGCGGCGCTCCTTGTCAAGCTGGCAGCGGATCACAGAGAACCGCAAGAGGCCTGGCCATTGGAGATTTCCTTGCAAGGACGAGGGTTCACCTTCGGCTTTCTGCCCTCACACTTCCGCTGCAAGCTTGTTGAGCGCTGAACTGAAAACCCTGAGGAGACCTCATCCAAAGCCTCAGCGTGATAGGGGCAGCGGACTCCCCAGCCCGACTCGGTGATGTACAGCTCACATCCGCACATGCTGCACTCAGTCTACGGCACATCCTTTGTGGAACTCTGACAGTGGATGCTCGGCGGCACGTTCACAGGAGTGCTCGTGGATGGACATCTTCAATTTTGTTTGGTCTCGCTTGCATGCTCCCTCTCTTCACTTATCCCTTGTTCTCCCAATCTGCAGCTTCTTGGTGTGATTGTTTCAACTGTGACTCATCTAGGATGGCGCGGGCTGCTTGCTGGAAGACTGTGAGGTGTCAGACTCTGTTGATGAGTACGGCGGCAAGTTCGTCAAGATACCTTTGTGCGACGCGCATTTGTCACTGAAATTCGCGATATTGTAGCATTTGTCAGTGTCATGGGGTGGATTTGGCACAGAGTGTCCGAGCCTATGCAGTCGACAGGCTCGAACCATCGAAATCGGCGTACGTGGGGCATCAGCGGTGCGGAGGTGCAGGATCCAAGGCCCGCACATCACCAGCCTTTTTTTTGTCAGACAAGGTACTACGCTCTCAAAAAGAACATCCGAATCACGTATTGCGACGGCATCTCACGTGGGGATGCGGGATGTGGACTCAGGTGGCCGCGTGGCCTTGGCAGTGCAAGGCCCCGTGCTTCTGGATGCTGTGGAAGTGCTGGCGCCACGGCAGCACGCTTTCGCGCCTGCCCAAGGGTCGAAGATTTCGAACATGACTTAAAGTCAGTGGTTCAATGACCACCAGATTTTGGATTGGTGAATTTGAAAGAAGGCTGAGCTGAGAAGCGGTTTGAAGCTTTGGGTCACACGGGCACCGCAACATGCCTCTAGGTTCTACAGTCTAGAATTTGAAGTGTCTGCAGCAGCTTCGAAGTTTCTTTCCCTTACCCGGTATTGCTTATCCGGCTGACTTACGAGTGTAGATACGAGTAATGGTTGATGAAAGATGGCTAGGCAACGTGAATTTGGCAGCGTTACTTCGTCGGCTTGAGGATTCCGTCATCGGAGTCAGCATCCACGGCAACATTGCAGTGGAAATGCGCGGAGCTCAATCGACACTGGAGCTAGAGCTGATTGCTTCATTAGTATCAGTGGCCCCCCCCCCCCACACAACATAAGGAGCATTAAGGAGCGTGTTTTGTGCATTGAGAATCAAGCCAAGAAGCCAGCTCTCTGAGCTGAGGCACATTTGCAGATTCCTCCGTTGCAGTGCTGCAGCAGTTGTCTCCCACATTGACCTGCAACTTGGCAAGATGCTGGGCTGCCGACACCCTACTGCAACCCTCTGCCACTTCGCTTCCTTGTCCTAAGGCAACCTGACCAGGATGCAGAAGTTCTACCCTTGCTGAAGATATCAGATGACAGCCTCATTGAAGACTGCGCTCGCAATCTGGAGGCAGCCAAAAGTTAGCAACGGCGAAATGCGAGAGCTTCCGAGCGCACATACCAGTGCGATTTTCGTGAGGTGCGGTTGCAACTGCCCCGTACCGAGTCGCTGATATTCGACACACTGCCGTTGCCGGCAGGTACTTACGAGGTGCTCTCTGGATGTATTTGCGGTCAAGGGTGTAATGGGTTGTTCTGCCGTTTCTATGGAGGTTCCGCAACGTTCCGCGTCTAGCTGGAAAGTCCAGGCAGGCTCGATGGCATGACTTGCAGTGTTCACGGGCATCTTTCGCAGCCAAATTAAACCTCCCGTGTATCACACGAGTCTGCTCATTGCGGGCAGGTCAGTGACCTGGGTGCTGTGTCTTGGTGCTGTGCTCCGGTGGCAACGTCACCGCGCCCAAAACGCAGACGGCCGAAAAGAGAGAAAGAGAAGAACGAGGCCCAGGCTTTGGCTTTGCAGCAAGCCCGCTGAAGTGTGTAGGTAAGTTCACGACGAAGGGGCATGCTCCACATCGAAAATCAGTGCCAGGTGTCTCAAGCAGATGAGACTGGCACCAGAAGGAAGTTAACAGATGACGAGGCCCGAGCTAGGTGGAGCTTCACACTGCATTACAGGGGGCATTGAGTACGAGTACGATTTGTCTGCGCATTTTTCTGACTGAGGCTTGGGCTTGCAAGATTTTGGGGCTGCGGCAGAACGCTGGAGCAACTCCGTGCGAAGTTCGCGCGGCCTACCGGAAGTGACCCGAATAAAGTTCAAGGAGGGAAAAACACCTTGGGAGGGGAAGTTGACATTGTTGGCCTTGAGCTGGTGGGCTCTTGCAATCGCCTTGTTTCTTTGGACATGAAAGTCATAAACGACAGAAGCAAGCGGTCGAGACTCAAGGAAAGCCAGGGAGGTACATCCAGACAAGCAGACGCAGCCGACGTCCACTATGCCATCATTCCACGATGTCTCAGCGGCTTGTGAGGCGCACATAGTGCTTCCAAATTGCATGCACTGTAACATCTGAGTGAGATGGGCATCGATGCAAAGGTCTTCTGTCTGCGAAGCAACGGATGACACCTGTGCAGGCGCTCCTGGCTGGCTTCAACACCGTGGCTCCTTCAGCTCTGAAGCGGCGAAGAAGCACGGACCGGCGTGGAAAAGATCGTTCAGCGAGGTTGTGGGTCTGTGGCCTCCGGCTGGACAGAAGTGTAATGTGTTGTATAGATTGGAACACCTGCCATGCATCGCTGCTGTCCATAATCTGATTTGATTGGTGCATGACAGGTTCAGGACACCTGCCTTCGAGTAGCAGTCTCTCATCTGCAGAAAGACGGGGTTCGGAGGTCATTATTATTGCCCCGAGCTGGTCTTGCATCGAAGTTCGGCATCATATGGCGTTGGATCATCGGGCTTCGCGCACCAAGCCTTACATCCCTGCGAAGCCTCGGCGAACATGTTAGAAAAAGAACAGCGACATGTCCGAGGCCAAGCCGACTGGGAACTTCATGACTCGCAAGAGCACTTCCGCTGCCCTGGCCTGTTGGTCAATGTCAGGAGCAAGTCGCATGGCATTTAGTTGTTTTTCGTAAATTCTTTTTTTTGCTCACTGCTTGATTGTGAGATGCAGGTCTTCGCCAGCTCACAGCTGCTCTCAACAGCACCCCGCAAGGCGCCCTGAACTCTGAAGCAGGGGACATGAGTAGAACAGAAGGCTCCGACCCGCACACGATGGGGCATTGCAGCCTTCACCTAAGTTTGTGCTAGATGACTGCAGGCTTCAAGCGGCTGGGAAGGCAGTCCTCTTCTTGGGCGTGTGCTTGGGACTCAGTCGATGCCAGTCGACGCCCGCATGCTGCGCTGACATGTCGCAGCCTTCGCCTCCGAAGTGTGCACTTGCAATGTTGTTCGGCAACAGAAAGATCCAGCTATTCATCATCGTATGACCATCTCAGCCCACCACAGCGATTTCATGCGCAACTTCTATGTGCCCTCAAGTCAAGGACTGAGATAGACACCGATCAAATCCACCGGCGCTTACAGGAGGACGAGCAGCTGCTAAGCAGAAAGCAAGCTGTGCTGCACGAGTCGTTTGGCTGATCACATGCAGCATGGAGTTGCAACTCCATGCAGTGCTCGAGGACGACATCGTTTGTGTGCTCCCTGTGGGCGCGGGGTCAGGACCGAAACCATCCGCGCAAAGACGTCTTCAAAGTTCTTCAATTCAGCCATGAGATTGCAGGCACAGGCGGCCAGCTCCGCTATGTCCCTTCAGAGGAGTTGGCAGCTCAGGCCCATGACCCATGATGGCTTTTCTCGGAATACTTCAAAAGGTGACGTTCGGTGCGGATTTGAGGGCGCTGACAAGCTTTGACTCTTGGCAGTGCCAGGTGGCCAAAGAGCTTAAAGCCGCCAAGCTGATCTTCTTCACACGTGGCCACGTGGCTGATCTACGTGCAGTGTCCAATGCTGCTTCCGTATTTTGCATTATTGCTGTAGCTTATGTTGCGCAAGTTGGGCATATCGCGAGTGGGAGTGGTGCTCATACAAGGGGCGGGTTGTTAAGAACGTGCTCACGCAGAATCAGGCAGGTGGTTTGGACCAAGTGGGCGGTGCTTAATTCTTAATTCTGGCAGCATTATTGCGACGGCTCAACTTCCTACGCGTGTCCCAAAGGCCTCTGCAAACACCGGTGTTTGCGTTTGTGTTTACACGCAAAACGTACAGTGACAGCGTGTCATGACGGCTCTCCCCGAATCAAACGGAAAACGCCGAGCGACTCAAGCATAAAACTTCTTACCAGTAGCAGGCTGTATAAAACATTTTGCTAACCACACTGTGACCACCGTTTTGCTTCATGCACCCTGGAGTCGAGCGCGATGGATGGTTTGGCAACTAGTGCTTTATTGGCGCACAGTTTTTGGGCAACTCGTGTATGAAACGTATGCGCCTGAGGAGTTCATCTGGGTGGCTTGTTCTAGACTCATCTGCAGTCCTGCAACGAACTGGGACTTGAACTAGCCGGGCTTGCGATTAGGTCCACTTGTCTTTGGGTCAAAGTAAAAGTAAACTGCCCCTCTCCCCGTTTTGGCGGCTTCGTTACAGGCTTGAGGGCTCTGAGGGCTCAAGGATTCGCGATGTGCCCCTCCTTCTTCCGACTTAAATCATGGGCGATGCAAACGCGGAGTATCTTTCAACCTTACCCCCACCCTTAGACAAGTCGTACATCCTGAATCCTTGAGCCTGCTCTCGCATTTAAGCTGAGGCCAGAAGCTCCTAGATACTGCCCGAGGGAACGCCGCTTGGACCCGCTTGGCGCAAGCTGCACTGCATGGCAGTAGGTTGGAAAGAGGTAAAAGGCGATGTGGCCAGTGGCAACCACAGTTGTTTAGGTTACTTTGAGACATTGCAAGAAGCCATGTGTCCTTTTTGATAGTACTGCTTTAGCAGACATCTGTGTTGTTGCAGCGGACTCTGTGATAGTAGGTCGTTCCGACAATGCAGCTGGGTGAAGCAGACAGACTTCTGGAGTACGCGCCCGGGACTCTGATGTTCGAGGGTGCAGGCATATGCAGGCATCATGCCGCACTGGAAGGGAGTGGTGCAAGGTCTAGCTGTAGCTCTCAAACGGAACAGCGGTAGTTTAATTGAGTTCTGTGCCCATAAGCAGACCTGAGCCTTGAAAAGTGAGAGTCGTGAGTTCGATAATACACTGATGCGGCTTTCCAGGAAAACCAGCAGTACTTTCATGGAGAAGGCACGCAATTGCATGGGGATGATTCGTGCTGAAGTATGTGCTTCGAGCCAGCCCACGCGAGAGTTACGATCGAGATTCCATATGTGAAGCGTAGGATTGTTAAGAACTGACCAGGAGAAATCTCAGACAGCCCGAGAAACTTAGCACAATGCGGGAGATCACGCTAATCAGCATCGAGTGTTTGAGGACTTCCAGCTGCTGACTGGAGTATACGTAGTATACGGGAATGAGATGTCAGGAAGAGTCCAGTGAGATCATCTTTTATCTCGAGCTGTGCACGTCTCAGCTCATCTCGTCATGTCAGCAGGTACTACTGGTAGGGCCTAGCTGCCAGGTGGGTACTCGGTTTCCTGCCGTGGTGCCAATATGCACTGTCGTGGCTCTACTTGTTTGGCGCAGAATGATTCAGAATGGTTAGATCATGTTTGAATGTACCCTGGGCGGGATTGAAGCAGAAGCCGCGGCTTCGCGACCGAGGCTCTTGCAGGCTTTGCGCAGTGGCACGCGCCGGGCTCACCTGATCGACCCGCGGCGCGGTGCTCTGCTGCAGGCTCCTCGCCGGCCAAGTTGAGAATTCATTGAACTGAATCGTTTCGAAAGTTAAGTTTGGCAGGAACTTTATACCACTGATGGCAGTGGGACAATGATTTCCCTGGATCTCTACGATGGCATCAGGTTCCGTGAGATGTTGAGGGAATCAAGGGAATCGAGGGAATCGAGGGATCGGAGCATGGAGGGGGGACCGAAAGGGCTCCGGTTGTGCAGGCTGGCCCGCTCGGGGGATGTCTCTGGCATTCTGGAGCTCATTGAGCCCTTGGTGAGGCCGGGTGACCGTGATGGGACTCGGATTCTAAGAGCTGCTTTAAAAAAAGCCAGTCCGACTCAACTCCTAAGTGTGTTTGACCGCGACCTTGGGCCGAACCAACTCCTTCCATGGCATCCTGATCCGTGATTGGCAGACTTTGCAGCATTGGGTGAGTACAGTAGCTGTTTAAAGGATGGGTCATGGCAGCCGTGTATCTGGTGGATGCGTGTGTGTGTGTGTGTGTGTGTGTGTGTGTGTGTGTGTGTGTGCGTGCAGGAGAAAGCTATTGAGACGCCGCAATACATACGAGGCGCAATATGAAAATGTGGTAGCTTGTGCAGCAACCGCTCCTGCAATAAGTCTTTCCAATCATTCCCACTCAGCTGCACGTCAGGTCGAGCGCGTTCGCAGCTCAAATCTCCCAGAATGGGCACAGGAAAAGCCGATTGCCACATGGTTGTTGTGCCCGTTCGCCCATTGCATTTACACATTCGACTTCAGACAACATCCAAAGCTTGCCTTTGAGACCTGTGCAATTTGTCTTCATGGCTGAGGCGTGCAACAACCAGGAAATGTTCGTTTGGAAGCGTGACGCAGCTGGCCTCAGCGTCCCTGGCATCGGTTCGGGCTGCTTAAAAGCATCAGCTCAGGACAAGTTCGTTGGATGCGCCAGCCTCCAGCAGTTCAATGATGCCCCTGGCAAGGCAGAGCTTGGAGCCAAGTTTATACATTATATAAATATAAAGCTAAAAGCATATATATATATATACATATACTTATTTATTTATACACATATATAATAGTGAAATATAATATATAATATTATATAATATTTCATAATATGATCCAATATAATATAATCCAATACAATATAAAATAATATAATATGATATAATATAATATAATATCATCTGATTCAATTTATAGTATACATATATATGTTTATATATATATATATATGTTATATCTACATATAGAGCCATCGTGTGAGTGTGTGTTTGCCCCACATCACGCGCGGGCGCATGCTGAAAAACACAGCAGGGCCGGCATTCTTGCGCGGTTAACGTCTGCTTTTTGTGCTTAGATTTTAAATTTTAATGCACATCAGATTCTGGACGTGCATGACGCTTCTTTTAAAAGGAGCCGAACAACTTGACATTTCTGTTAGAATGATCTTCTAATTCGCAGGATTCTGGATGCACAGGAGCGTTGCAGGCCATTCAAACGCTTACTTTGTGGCATTTTTTCGCATTCCTCGCACCAAAAGTTCCGGGTTTTCTGTGGGATCTTCAATGCTCAGCCTCAGTCGTCGGCTTCAAGTATTCAGCTTTGAGTGAACCTAAACCCAAAAAAGAAACATGCCTGATCAAAACAAACAACAGCAAAAACTGTGGGGTACCATCACCCACATATGCTACCAGGACCAGGACGCTTTTCATATCTGTAGCCTTTGATGTACACTTGTTGCTTACAGTGCATGTTTCCTCGGGCCTAGGCTCGGTTGCTTTGTCATCTCGCCTCTCTGCAGAGGGAAAGGCATGCAGGGTCTGACTTGCATGTCCATTGCGGTTCGTGACGCGCCATAGCCTCCCAAGATCTCATACGTCTTGGTGGAAAACCAGCAGCATCCAGCAGCCAGAGTGGCTCAACTCCGCACAGGGGTACTGAAATAGTGCTAAAGTCATGGACGAGAGGGGACACCAGCTTCGCTTGACTTCGGCACTCTGCCTTGAGCTATCCACCGCCAATTTTCGAATAGCGGACCGGTATGTAGTGGAGCCAGGCCCTGCAGCCCACCAAGTATTACCGGTGCCGAACCAAGCTGCACCTCAGAACCTAGCTGGCTACAATCCGGCCCCCGTGGAAGACCTAGAGGGCCACGCAGCCAATGCTGCTGAAGCAGCCTCAGCAAGCATTCAGAAAGCCAATGGCCGCACAGGGCAATCGGGGGCAGGTGAGACGGTGAACGGTGAAACTCCTGCAGGCTCTGCTTCAGGTGCGAACCCTGCTGCTGCAAACGCAGTTCTGAACCAGGTCGGCGAAGGCACCTCAGCCCAGAGCCGAGGGCATGGGCCGACCCCACAAGTTCAAGCAGGAGCAAGTGAAGCCATGAACGGGACGACAGCGGTGAGACCGTAGCGAGGTTTTCGCAGACAATGGTCAGTCTGCCTTTTAATGCACTTGACTGGTCCCTGGGTTAGTCGAAGTGCCTTAGGCAAAGTCCGGGGATCTACAATCTACAACTTGCATCTGCAAATCATGCTTACGTAACGTTGGGGAAGTGTTTTTCCAGCATGGCTCAGCATGACAATGGGGTTAGCAGGTCTCCTCTGTATGGGCGACATCCTATCGTGGGCTCTGGACTTTGGGTTCGTGGGTGGGACCTCACACGTGCAGAGACGTGCCTTCTGATTATGTATGTGTCATGGCCTTGCAGCAGATTCGACGATGCTGCCATGCTGATTTTGTCATCCTCTGCCCCATAGAACCTATATACAGTTCAGAAGTTCAGGCTGTGCCAGCTTGCATCCTGAAAGGCACCGAGCCACTTCTAGTTATTTCTCGCGCGAGATCTGGTTGGCTTGACATTTCATTGTGTCAATACAGAGTGCTTCTTCTCGTGTTGATTTAACGATAGATGCTAGAGAGATTTATGCCACGCCTCGGCTTTACAGATTCTACATGATTCTTTACTTCAGTTCCAGTGCCATAAAATACTCCGTGCCACCGCAGCTACTCCAGGACACGTTTCAATTCACGCAGGTGGGGTCGACTTTGCTCGAATGCCCATGTCTCATTGGGGGTTTGTAGACTTCACACGAGCTGCTTCGACTCAACTCAAAAGCCCAGTGACGCTGCCAGGCTGCGGCAAGTCGGCAAGGGGCCCCCAAGATAGTTTCACCATCACTCACAAAGCTGCAGCTACGTGCTCAGAGGCTGCATTTGTCATATTTCGTGGTTCTCGTGCAGTGGAGCTTCCGCCTGCACTGGAACCACAACTATTCAAAACCCAACGGCAGTGCTTTCTTTGCCTGTGTCTTTTCAGAACCGGGCATCCCTGTCAGTCCTGGTGCGATGCACATCATCTCGGAATCTCCGTCTGAAGTGGTGTTCCGCCAATGCTGCATGGATGGCGTCGCAGACGCCACTTGAGTTTCTCAGATTTTCCAATTGGGCCATGCAGCGCCGAAGAACGCCGACTGCAGCAGAAGTCAATGCCTTCTCCAGGCCCTCTGAGGAACTGTTGCAGCAGCCGGAAGGATCAAGGAGATGACATCCGATGACACAGCTTAAGTATGCTTAAGTTTCTTCACTCATCAAGTCCTGTCATCCAGGACCCTTCCGGTGTCTTCTTGATTTTGAGTTAAGTTGCTGTATGAGCCGTCCAGAAAAAGCGCATCCGCAGGCAGCCGATGCTACATGCCGCATCATCCTGTCATTCCCAGCAGGGTTGATGAGACAAATTCGTCGGGATTTGGCAGGGGTAGCGATCCGGTCAAACCCGGGGCTGAAACCGTTTTGGCAGCCAGGTCCAATCAAGTCTATGGAACTTGTAGCATTATGGCAGCCTGTTCTCCGAGCCCAAGACACAACAATGAATGCATCTGTCTGCGAGATGGGGCTGTGAGGTGGTTCGGACTTGTACTGGAAGTTGTGTAGGAGGAGTCAGACCATGGCAAACCAAGACAGGGTCAGCAAACAGCCCTTGAGCCTTTCATGGTAAGAGTTTTTCCAGTCCTGAAGGTCATGGTGCCGTGCTCCTCTCATACATCGAGCAGGTCGCGAGGTTGCTGGGCGTGCCTACTCCTCAGCATCGCTCTGTACAAGGCCTTGATTCAGAAAGTCTACAGACCTTTTATGCTGCTGAGGCACCAGCTCTTTCTTCTCACCACGCAGACGATGCTACCCTGGCGCGTTTGTTGACAGGTAGACGGTAGGGGCTGGGTGTGTCTTGAGTGTCTTTGCAATGTCTGCACCAAGACCACGCATCATCTCGAAAGCCACTTGCAAGGCAGTGGTTTGTGGAGCGCGGCTTCCAGAGCGCCCCGATTGAAGAGCTTCCACCAGGCCGGAAAGCTGGAAGTGGCGTAGCATGGCCCTGCGGTGTGACCAGTAGCGCTATGTCGTGCTGCTAATCACTGGAAGGTCTGGCCAGAGCATTGTGTGATGTTGCGTGCAGGCAAGCGCGAGGGCTATGATCTTGACAGGTCATCAAAGGCTACGCCTGCCGTTTGCCACCACTAGCATGTATTAGCATCAGCTCCCAAAGAAATATGAATGGCGTGAGAAGTGCGGTTCCAGCTGGGTAAGGTTTGCTGTGGCATCTTGGCATCGTGATCTCTTTCCTGGAGGGGCGCTGGCAATTTGCCAGGTGTTCATCAAGAATATCTCCGACCTTCCGAGTGAGCTTCAGCAACGTTTCACATTTGTGGAGGTGGACACACTCGATTAAAACGGAACTTACTACAACATGTCTGCACGTCTCGCAGGCCCTTCATGACTCGGAGCACTGGGTTCACATTATGCTTCTTGCAAAGCAAGTTGGCAGAAGTGCGTCCTGCAGCCATATATGCTTCAAGGGCTGGCCAATCTGATGCGCTGATTGTTTGCCCGGAGAAGCTCTCGATCCTGTCGGTCATGTCGGTGGTAGTGAAGGTATTGCTGATGCATTTGGCGGTGGCCAACGCCCACGACGAGATGGGCAACCCATGCCTGAATCGGTGGCGAGCAAGCACGAGTATTGTTCTCATGTTCCGTTGACCCTTTGAGCTAAGTTATCCTTCTACGCTCACCCTGCCATGGATTTTGCTGTAGTGTCTATGCACAACAAGGAACAATTTCTGCTCGAGGTGGGCGGTTGATGGCTGGTGTCACAGGAACCCAAGGTACATGCTGATGTACTGCAAGCTCGCCTGTGGTGAATGCACGGAGTTTGCCACGAGAACTACTTCCACGCCAGAGAGTGCAACAACCAAAGAAGATACCAGCAGCCCTGCACCTGCATCGACAACACCCACGCCGACAACAACCGATACTGTCACCACTTCAGAAGCATCGACATCAAAGGCAGAGTCCTCCACGCGGGCGCCGGAATCAACCTCAACGCAAGCGCATACATCTCCTGAGCCCCCAGAACGAATCACAACTTCTAAGCTCCTGCCTTGGAGTGCAATGTGTAATCCAAAGCAGCTGTCTGTCGTAGGCGCAACTGCGCAAGCTGCACAAGCTGCACAACGTACATTTGCAGTAACATGCAGTCATGTGAATCAATGAAGTGGCACGAAGGTTGCAGCTGGAGCCACAGCCCTCGCCGCAATGTGGAACTTATTTGGTGGAGGCCTGTAGCATGTGATTGCGTGCCAAGCAGCCAACACACCCTGCCCTCTCTGATAGCTTGTCAGCTTCACGGTGAAATATCGCACTGAAGACGCGTGAAGAAGGGATCACTCATTGCAAGATCCGTTCAGCTGTGTCGCAGCTATGACGTGTCCTTTCTGGATGCAACATGACTTAGATTCCGAGAATTGGAGGAAGAGGCTGATCTGGCCGGCAAGATGCTGATGAAGTTTGCAGCGACCTCTGCAGAGATTTGCTGCAGCTACCCAGTCGGAACTTAGAGTGCTTGGAGGTTCTTTGAGAATTGCGTGATGTTGATCTCAAGTAGGGTTGTTCAGTAGTTACTGAGTTCCATACGTAACCTCAAGTTCTGGGTGTCACAACCCATGGCAGCCAGCACTTGTCGATTCTGCTGATACCCGCGTCGAAGCACAAGGTTCCAGCAGGCATTGCCCTGCTTAGTATCTGTCTGGTTTTCCTCGATTCCGAAAGCAGCTTGTGCCTTCCCAGTCCCAGCATAGAGTCAAGTATAGACTTTGTTCGAGGATCCGTAGATCTGAAGCAGGCGTTTGTGACGACACAGCTGGGTGCGCGGGCTTTGCATTCTTCAGCCAGACGTGCTACCTGAAGTCGAACCTCGAGGGGAGCTACTTCAAAGCCGGCTGTCAATCTCGAATCCGCAAGGTCCAGGGCACTTGTGCTGGTTTTGATGCCCCTATTGAAGGCCGCGACTTAAGTGGAACACTCCTCAAATCCATGTACGCACCAGACTCAACAGTCTGCTGCAACGCATGTCGATCTGAGCAAGGATGCGAAGGTTTCTCATACTTTCAATCCTTCTGTTATCTGAAACACAATGTCCATGGCACCTACCCAAAAGCAGGATGCTCTGTGCAATTGCGCCCCTCCCGACGTTTAGCAGAGAGTGATCTCCTAGTCTGAGGAAGCAAAGGCTTGAACAGTTTGCCTGAAGGGATACTTTTGACAGGCACAATCAATGCTAATTCAGATGCATCAGCCGACTTTGAAAGTCGCTGATGGCCTTTTGGCGCCTCGGACCACAGCTCAGAGCCAAACTTTATGGGACAGTTGGCCCGACGGCGTTGTGCACATGTCCAGGTGCAATTTTTGTTACAGATTCTCGGTTGTGAAGAAGCAACTGATCACCTCAAGGGAAGGAATCTGTCCAAGATTGAAGGTTTTGTGCCGCTTGAAGTGAAAATCGGTGGCCATGTCTGAGGCAGAACATTGTAATCCTCCATTCGCCGTGTGGAGCGCTCGCAAGATTTCATGTCACGATCTCAACCGCCGCTGCGGGCTACTGTAGCAGATGTTGCAGGCACAGGTGGGCTGTGGTAACGGTACTGATCCAAATGGTTTCATGGCTCTGCCCTGGTGACCAATCCTGCGCAACAGCATTGTCTGAGTCACTTGTGTGGGAACAGAGCCTGAGCGCAGTTGTGGACAAAGATCCAACGTGGTTCATCAGCTCTCGAGTAGAATGTCCATTGGTTTTTGGCGCGGGCTCCAATGGGAAGCTCACAGGTCAAGACCCTGACACGGTCTCCTCCTCAGCTTTTGTTTCATCGGTGTCAGCGTCACGGCACATGCTCGCCCGAAGATTCTGCAAGCCTCCCACCTGACCTGCTGACCTGGGCTTTTTTTGCGCTCGAGCAGTATCTTTGCCAGACACGGCTAGTGAGGCGCCGAGCTTGCTGTGTCAAGTAAGATGGCAGATGGGCACGAAGATCCGGAGGGCTTCCAGGATGACATGCTTCCTGAGGACGAGGAAGTGCCTCCCAACGGCGATGGGGAGGACGAGGACGAAGGAGAAGACTTGCTTGGGGAGAATATGATGGATGACTACCAGCACCGGCCAGAGCTGGACCACTACGATGAGGACATGCTTGATGACGGGCCGCATGAGCCCTTGACTATGGCCGCGCGACTGGCCGCAGAGCGGGAGATGGCTGCGCGAGATCGCAGAGAAGGCCGTCCTGCTGCTGGCAGGTCACCTTTGGGCCAAGCGGCAGGCACACCACGACCAAGACGTCCGAGTCAAATGGAGACGCCCTTCAAGCAGCGCTTGCAAAACTTGACTCCGAGTCCTAACAAAACTCCTGGATCAGACTTGGATGCCTCGGGCACATCTAGCAAGAAAAGAAAGCGCCCGACTGACTACTTTGAACAGGAAGAACCAGACGAAGACGTGCCCGAGAGTCAGTACGACCTCAACCAGGAAAGGCTGAGCCCAGGGGTGGATGTTGAGAAGCGCCTGGCAGACAAGATCCGCCTCTCCTTCCAGCAGTTCTTAATCAAGTTCACGCCAGAAGGGCAGAATGCCCCCAAATATCCGGATGCGCTCAAGAAAATGGCCGAAGAGTATCGCGCTCACTTGGAAGTGAGCTTCCAGCACTTGCAGCAATGGTCTGGTCCACTGGCCATGTGGCTCTATGATTCTCCCAAGCAGATCCTGCCACTTCTGAATGAGACGCTGATGCTTCATGCAGCCCGAAAGTACCAGACATACACCAGGATCGCTGATCATGGTGAGAATGAGCTGCGGGTTGCCATCAGCGGGTTCCCTGTGAAAGACACCATCCGTGGGCTCGCCTCTCGCCACACCAACAAGCTTGTCCAGGTGAAGGGCGTCGTCACGAAGCGCACGAATGTGTTCAACCAAGTGAAGCGCCTCTGGGTGCGCTGTGCCAAATGCAATTTCGCTATCGGACCTCTGGATGTGGCCGAAGAGACGGACTTGCGCCCATCAAAATGTCTCGAGTGCCAATCGAAGGGTCCTTGGCGTGTGGACCGCCAGCAGACCATCTACCAGAACTATCAGAAGATCACGCTGCAGGAGAGCCCAAGTGCAGTGGATCCGGGCAAGATGCCCCGGTCGAGAGAAGTGGTCCTGACGGGAGATATGGTAGACTCGGTCCGTCCAGGAGACGAGCTGGAGGTAACCGGCATCTACCGGTGCCTTCATGATGTTGCCACCAATGCGCGAACGTGCTTCCCGGTCTACCGAACGGACATCTTTGCTGTCCACGTGGCTCGCAAGGGCGACTTGAGGCTGGTAGAGATCTCAGATGACCAGCAAAACCAAATCTTGGAGCTGGCAAAGAGTCCGAACTTCCGGGAGAGGTTCATCGCCTCAATGGCACCGTCCATCTACGGCATGTGGCACGTGAAGACGGCCATCGCCTTGAGCATCATGGGCGGCAGGCCGAAGGAGGTCGCTGGCAAGCACCGCATTCGTGGAGACATCAACACGCTCATCGTCGGCGATCCAGGCTTGGGGAAGAGCCAATTCCTCAAGTACGTGGAGCAGATCTTCCCTCGGGCGGTGTACACAACAGGCAAAGGAGCCAGCGCAGTGGGCTTAACTGCCGCTGTGACCCGCGATGAGATGGGTCAGTGGTGTCTGGAAGGTGGAGCCATGGTCTTGGCGGATGACGGCATGTGCCTGATCGATGAGTTCGACAAAATGAACGACCAAGATCGGACTTCCTTACACGAAGCCATGGAGCAGCAGTCCATCTCGATCTCCAAGGCTGGCATCGTGGCCACGCTGCAGGCGCGCTGTGCCGTGGTGGCTGTGGCAAATCCCACCGAAGGTCGCTATGACCCTCAGCGGACGTTCTCCCAGAACGTCAACTTGAGCGACCCAATTCTCAGCCGTTTCGATCTCACCTGCGTGCTGCGAGACGAGGCTGACCCGGTGCAGGACGAGATGCTGGCAGACCATGTGGTCTGCAGCCACATCCGATCGCACCCAGATGCCACGTCCGAGGAGAAGAACAAGAAGCCGCGGCTGCAGCACCAGCAGATGCATGCACAGCCAATCAGCCAGGACCTCCTCAAAAAGTTTATCGTCCATGCTCGTCAGCAAGTGTCGCCGAAAATGGGCGACGTTGATGCCGAAAAGCTTGCGGCCTTCTACTCTGAGCTGAGGGCAGAGGCCTCCCGAACTGGGGGCGTGCCCATGACAGCACGACACATGGACAGCCTCATCCGACTGGCAGAGGCCAATGCTCGCATCGAGCTCCGGCAGCACGTGACTTCCGCGGACATCGACAATGCAATCGCCGTGATGCTGGAGTCCTTCATCCAAAGTCAGAAGCACCAGGTCGCGGAAGAGATCCGCAAGAAGTTCCGGCGGTACCTGACCAGCGGCCCGTTGGGAGACCAGGTGTGTGCCCTCCTGGAGAAGCTCTTCAAGCAGAAGGTGATCCAGCTTCAGCTCAGTCGGCCGACAAAGGATGTGGAGCTTGCGGAGGTCTTCCTTGAGATGCCCGAGGTTATTCGTGCTCTTGAACACAATGGCCTCTCGGTCGAGGATGCCAGCAGCTTCATGAGCTCGCACCGCGTGGCCCAGAACTTCCGTCTCGAAGGGGAGAGGCTTTATCGAGTCCTCTAAACGTGATATACGTGATCCGAGTAGCCTCGCGGCTCTAGCGATTTTAGTCTAGTGTCGCTGATGGAAGAGGCTGCCGAAAGAAGTGACTAGATTCACTAGGCTACCACTAGGTTCCTGTCATCACATCTTCTTTGGGGTGTTGCATCATGGTGTTTCAGGGAGCTTTGATCCGCTGTTTTTTTCGCGTGGGCAGACTTCTTGAAAGTCTTCGGGGGCCTGGCCTCGGACTCTTCAAAAGTGTGAGTCGAGGCCGCCAGATAACGTAGAGGAGCCGTGAGGAGCCCAGGCTCGACTGCTCGGGGAGCTGAGAGCCCAGCAAAAGGAAGAGAGCGCCTCAGTCGCCTCTGCCCGACTTTTTGAGCCCTGCACCGGCCTCTCACAACCTGCCCCGGGGCGCGCAGTTGAGGCACTTTACAAACTGTCGTACTCAGGTCAGGAACTTGAAGGACGGTGTCGATGCAGAGGACTGGAAGGCTGGTGTCATAGTTCTTTGGTCTTGCAGAAAATGCAGAGCGCATTATTTCTGGATGCAGCCTTGTTTTGCTGGTTGACTCGCGGAAAGGACAGTACTTGATTGCAGTTGCATTCCTCTCGACATTCGGCTGCGGAGGGCGATCGAGAAGCATGAGAGAGCAGCTTCACGGGTTGGTTGAAAGAATAAGACCAAGTGGCAAGCGCACAATCAGCGTTCATTTCCAGAGAAGTCAACAGACATGGAAGTCGTTGATGGCCTTTTCGGCAACGTGTCATGGGACAGTTGGCAAACTGGGCCAGCGGCATTGGGCACCCAGAGGGTAAAGCTACTGAATTCAGATCTGCGGCTGTGCGGGACCAGACAGCTGCCAAAAGAGGGCAGGGTGGCGCATGTAGTGTACAGAGCCTTTTTTATGTCATGACAGTCTGACAGTGATGTAAGTATGCAATTCGGTGTGTCGGTCTGCCTGTCTGTACGTCATGCGTACCCGCTGCTAGACGGCCTACGATTAGCTCTTCTTAAAGCTGCTGGATGGCCACAAGATAGCTCTGTTTACATCAGGGATTGAGACCATAATTGACTATAGTTGATGTGACCCCAAACTTGACCGGAACGCCGGGTGACCTAAACCTAGCCGGAGCCCACTGTTCGATGATGCCAGATACGCTCCACACGCAATCGCTTGGCATCGTTCGCTGTAGCACTCTCAGGCTTTAAAATGTCGATTCATCGTTCAGCCAACGCGAACAGCACGAATGGTTTTTTTGGGATTGCGGCCACTGGAAGAGCCTGGAAGAGTCACCGACAGTGTCAGAGTGGGTCGCACTCCAGTGCCTTCGATATGTTTTCTTGTTAATGTGGACGACACCGTCTTGTTCCATGCCTACAACTCGATGGATCACTATCTATCCTTTTGCCTTGCTTTTTTCAGCTGTGCATGTCATGATTCACATCGCTTTGTGGGCAATGTGATGCGCGGGTTCCCTCTGACTTGACTCTGACTTGACAGAGTTTCGCCGTAAAGTTTTACACCTACACCCTCAGACCTTGATGCTCATACCCCTTAATATTTTTGGCAATGGCAAAGCCAATCATATTCGACGTGTGTTTATGATTCATGTCGTTCCTGCAAGCAGCGTGGCTCACAGCTGCCACAGCTGTTTTATGTCAGGTCATATGCCAGAAGCTCAGCTACACATGAGGAGAGAGGGGGGTGGGGAGCGGGGCGTGCATCTTTCCTGATTGGTATACAAGACCGTAGATTGCTTTTTTTTTTCCGTGGATGTCTGAATCCTCGATGTTTCTTGCATGGAATCAGGCTTCTTGCCTTAGCGCCATGCAAGTCGCAATTTGCTGTTGCAGACTTGCTGAGCAGCTCCTCAAGAGCCAACTGACCATGTCGCTGTCAGATGCCCCTTTCAGGTTATGAGCTCGCTTCTGTGGGTTGTCCTCGCTTCCAGCTTGCCCAGATTCGTGTGCGGGGGAAATGCCCAGGCCCGGCAGTGATCATGGTCAACGGTGCATTGTCAGCAAGATGCAAACTGGCTGTCAAGGTGACACTGGATGCCTCAGCACAGGTCCTTTTCTCAGAAGGGCATCCACATCACATGCTTGTCACAAGTCAGATGTCTAGTCTGCCAAAGCTAGGCGAGGTGCCTCAAATGACTGCTGCTGTAGCTCCTATTGGTAGGCTCCAAATCGCAACTGGGTTGGCTCAGTGAAACACGGTTCAGGTTCAGAACGGCCGCATCATCCGCATCTCGGCTTTCTAATGTGTGCAGAATTTCAGCATTGCATTGTCTGAAGATACGTAGCACTGATCCCAACAAGCGCCCGTTATTCCCCAGGTGACAACATTCCCATCACGAATCACTGGCAAACTTGCTCAGGGGATGCCTGGCCCGGCTCAAGCGATACACAGTGTCGGTGGATACTCGATTGGACGGTAGAACGCGGGAAGTCTCAGGGCCGGCCCAGGACTTTCTTCGTTTGACCTTTCTTGAACAAGATCAACATTACTGAACAGATATCAGAATAAGGAGCAAGAAACAGAGTTTCGATGTAGCAGAAATCACGTCTTTACCACACCCCCTCAAGGGCCTTGAGCTCCAAGCACATAGCCTACATGCTTAGATGCCACAGAAGGTTTAAGGCCAGGTTGTACTGTAGTTCATTGGATGACTTTACCAGCTTGGGATCGGCGAATGTCCACACTACCCTTACACAGTGCCTCAAGGCACTCATCGGCATCCTGAAGCTGGAGGGGACAGGACAGCCGTGGACAGCCTAGCAAATGACATGCTTGGCTGAGGGCACTGGGACTGCAAGTGTGGGAACGACTGAACCTCCGGTGCGATATGCTGCGATGGTGATGCGCTAGATCGTAAAGATTTGTCGTAAGATTGTGCTGTAGCAGGGGGCTTGGTGAATTCCACCGGGCCTGACATAAGCGGCCGTGAGTCTTGACACGAGAGAAGTGAAGCAGGACCCTAGGTTCACCAGCTGCTGGCATCCTACAAATGGAGACTCTGAGCCTCTTCGCTGCAAATGGTGGGACTTTGAGACTTGCTGCAGGTGAGTTGAACGATTTCTGAGGCAACGAAAGCTTCCGCGTGGACCAGAGGTTGCAATCTGTGGCCCGAGCACTCAGAGCCGGCTCGCTTACGAAGATTCTTGATTGCATTTGTCTTGGACGTCAAGATGTGCAGCTAGCTGCGTCTTTGGCCGTGGCATATGAGAAACAGGTTTATCGAACATCTACATTCCAGCTGTTGTCTCAAACCTCTTTTTCTCTCAGACAGTCTCCTATCGTAAGTTGCGCTTGCATCATCACTTTGCAGTCAGCTGCACAGCACGATGCAACACTCCTCCGCCGATCCAAGGGAGCTCTTGCTGAAGCTATCCCTGTGCGTTCCTTGTGGCCATTTCCAAAAGATTGGCGAGCAAGGCCAGCTGTCCACTTAACTGCTGCAGATGCTATGTGGCGCTATGTAAGGGCAATGGCCGCAATGTACAGTGTATATATATATACATACCCACACACCTATGTGAATGTATGAAGCATATACATAGATACATATTACGCACAAAGCTGTGTGTGTGTGTGTTTGTTTGTGTATGTGGATTTAGAGAAGTCATAGCCTCGATCCAGCAATTGGGCAACATTCTGCCAGGCTTTGCCGCATACTTGTACTTGTAATGGGCTGTTTAGAAATTAGAAAATGATACTGAGTTTCCCCTTTTTTGGAGGGTCTTGTTTAGTGAGGATTGTGCGCATGTTTTAAGGTTTGGGGTTTTTTGGTTGTTGTACCAGAACCTCTCTAGAGTTCCCCGCATTGGCCGTTTTATGTTGCCCCCCCCCCCCCACCCCTTTTTTTGATGGTTTCGTACACATGTGCTACGCAGGCCATCTTCTGAAAAGTAAGGGTTTACTGAAGCCTTTGAAGGGTTTTTGACATGTGGCTTGGGTACCCCGAGCAGGAGATGTCAGTGACACTTGTTATCTTAGGAGAAGCATAGAATTCCTCCGTGAGCGCCCGAGAGTTGCATTTTGAAGGCTGCGTTACAGGGTTGCACAGACCCCCCGCCCCCACACATCGATCAGCAATCGACGCAGTGCGTGCTACATGAAGTGATCGAGCCGCTTCTTGGAATTGGTGTTCGAGACTGGATCCCACGGCTTTGAAACACACCCGCGTTGTTGATAGATTGGACTCAGGTATCCCCGCGAACCTCAATCGAGAAGTTGAGAGACAGCTGTAAACAGCTATGGAAATCGAGAACTGCTGGCCATAATGCCGGGGCTTATGAGTCTGCAATAACACTCTTTTTGCCACCCACCCAGCGGCAGGCACAAGAAGTGTGACATTATTGAAATTACATACCCCTTCAAAATGCACCGAAAAGCGCGGCCAGTTTTTGGCGAAACGCGCAGGTGCTGACTCTATAAATGGCTCACCCTTTAAAATCTGAAGGTGCGATGAACCTGAAGAATGGTATGTTTGTCATAACATGGCTTGTGCGGGGTACTCCCTGGGTTCTCTTCCTCTTCCACATTGCTTGCGGGCTCCAGTGGTACTGCGCAGGGGGCTCTCTGCAGGGAGAGAGTAGTTTATACAACTATGTCACGGGGGCCAAGCCATGTGGCATCAGAGTTTGCGTCGGACTGCTTGCAGCATGCTGAGAGGGGTTGGTGCTCTGCTGTTGTTACCAGCCGAAAGCTTCAAGCATGTGGGTCTTGAGCAGTTCCAGTGCCGGGGCCTGCTCCAGAAGAAAAGTTCGCGTATCGGCCAATCTCCACAGCATGCCTCCTTCTTGCAGTGCTTTCGTAGTCGTCTCAACTGGGTGTCCTTCTCCAAGTTATTGGGATAATTGGCCTACTGAATGATCGTGCAGATTGCTAGAAAGATGTCGAACCAATTCGAAGATCCGCCATGAGCTTCCTTCATGGATTGCCACGCAGGCTATGTGATGTGCACGGAAGACCTGGAGCGAAGCAACATAGTGGCGGCTTATTCTTATGGAG